CATCATCATCATCATCATCATCATCATTGTCATCATCATCACCATCATCATTATCACCATCACCACCATCATCATCATCATCATCATCATCATCATCAAAATCATCATCGTCATAGTCGTCACCATGCTTATCATCATCATTATTATTACCATTATCATCATCAACACCATCATCATCGTCATCAGTATTACCATCAGCATCATCGTAATCATTATCGTCATCATCATCATTGTCATCCTCATCCTCATCCTCATCATCACCATCATCATCCGCATCATCAACATCATCATCGCCATCGTCATCATCGTCAGCAGCATCATCGTCGTCGTCGTCGTCATCTGCATCACCACCGACACCACCATCATCATTCTCATAATCAGTATCATCAGCACCAACATCATCACAATAATTATCATCATCATCACCATCACCATCATCATCATCATCATCATCATCATCATCATCATCATCATCATCGTCGTCATCATCATCATTAGCATCATCAGCATCACCATCCAGATCCAAATCCTCAGCCTTATCCCCACCATCAACAGCATCAGTTTCAGCATCAGCAGCAGCATCATCACCACCATCAACAACAACAAGCAACATCAACATCACCATCAACATCATCATCATCACCCTTTTACTCTTACTGTCCCTACCCTTCCTCCTTCTCCTCCACCTCCTCCTCCTCCTTCTCCTCCCCCCTTCCCCTCCCCATTGTCTCCCGAATCCTTCTCCTCCTCGTCAGGCCGCCAGCCTCCAACAGCCACGAGAAGTCAAGAGCGCGATCGATACCTGAGTTCTGTGCAGAGCGGCGGTTTTCTACTATACCTTCGCCTGCTCCTCGTCCGCCTCCTCGTCCGCCTCATCCCGATCATCCTCTCGCCCTGGCCGCTCTGCCGTTTCCTCCTGCTTCCGCGGCGAGCACTGTCCCGCACTAGAGCAGAATAAGTATCTTCAACCGAGGGCAGCAGTTACGTGAGAACATATGGAACAACTTCCAAACATGGATGATCAAACACTACTGGTCCACCAGCATCGCTATGACAAACAGTTACAGGTGCAATACAAACAGGTCACTGAGGCCCCCACCTAACAAGCCTCGGGAGCCCTGCCCTGCGGAGCAGAAGACGCCGTTGCCCCCACACTGGGCAGGGGGTGGCCGAAACCGACGCGGCAGCAGACAGAGAGCGGACGGCCACACAGAGAATCGTAAGCATCTCCGTATCTGCCCCCAAGTGCCACGCGGTCGCACCGTCCGTCCCCCCAAACAGGCAACCTTCAGCGGCCACCGATGGCAAGCGTCAGTCGAAATCAGAAAGTACCTAGCTGTAGTCGACCTCGTGCCAAGGCCTATTCATTCGAGGGGCTGTGGCAAGTGGCAAAGACGGCAGCATGCAGCCTCCAGCCACAGGCTTCCCGATGCTCTGGTTGATGTGATGGACGTCGGGGTGTCGCTGCAAGGTGGGGTAAGGGTAAGGGCACTACCCTCTGGTGTCTTATCGTCGCGATGCGAATGCATCTCGCCATATCCCATTCACCTCTACAACCACATCCCCCAAATTGAGAATCACGGCCAAATAAGTTTGGGATCCCCGAGGCGGAAAACGCCGACACTGTCCCTGTCCCGGATTGATTGGTTGCGGGATCTCCGAGAAGAACTGCTGGTACATTGTCTCAGCCTCTGTCCTCCGGGTCCCCCGTCTCCGAGCGCTCGTCCCAAGTGCACCACCCTCTGATGCCGATACACGTGGGCTGAAACCTCGCGGGCGCCCAAGTGTCGCACGTAGAGTGGGCACGCCGAGGTTCCGACATGCGCTTCTCCAGCCCCTCCCACCGTTCGGCGATGGGCTCCAGCGCTGTGACGATTCTCTGGTCGACCGTCGCCTCGCACTCTGCCTGCTCCCTCTCGTTACGTCTATCGTTAGGTCGGGCATGTCCCCCTATAGGCGGATTTTGGACGAAATATTAAAAATACCATAGAAATTCTCCAAAATGGTCAAAAAGTACTCCAAAAATCACCCCCTGACTATCTTTTCTACTCTGTTTGAATTGCCCCCCTGTAGACGAACAGGCCTGACTTAAGCCTATCGGCGAAGCGCTTCGAGGGCTGGCCTGGCCGAGCCCCTGGCGCAGCGGGAGCCCGCCGAGCCTGCGGCAGGCATGGAAGAGGCGGGGCGCGGCCAGGTCCGCTGGCCGGCCCCGCAGCACACCGAGCCAGATTGCGCCCTCCTGCCCAGCTCTCCCGGGAGGGTGCCGTGGCGCCAGGCCCCGGGGGGACCTGGCGTTACTTCTGTGCACGTCGATCGGCGGAGTTTCATGAACAGTCCATGCGCTGAACATGTCCACGGAGCCCCCTTACTGCACGACAAGCGCATTGTTGGGGGGCCGACGCGATCGGAGCATCCCGAACATCTCAAGACCAAACCTTCAACCTTGCCGTCGTGTGAGGCCGAAAACATGGAAGAGTATCCAACGTGGCCACCGCTTCAACCGTGGTAGGAAACCTCGCTGCACAGCCGCCGGCAAAGGCTTGCGCCCAAGTCTCCCGTGCCTCCTTCTCCTCCGCCCTCCCCCTCCTTCTCCTGCTCCGCCCTCCTCTCCCTCCTCCTTCGCCTTCTCCTTCTCTCCGTCCTCCTCCTCCTCCTTCGCCTCATCCTTCTCCTCCTTCTTCTCCTTCTCCTCCTTCTCCTCCTCCTCCTCCTCCTCCCTCCTCCTCCTTCTCCTCCTCCTTCTCACACCTCCTATCTCTCTCCTCCTCTTCCTTCTCCTTCTCCTTCGCCTCCTTCTCCTCCCCTCCCTCCTCCTTCTCCTGCTCCGTCCTCTCCCTCCTCCTTCTCCTTCGCCTCCTCCTGCGTCATCGACCGATCGAGCTCGCAGCTCGGTCGAGCAGCCTCTGAACGAAACGATGGAGTCAAGCAGCCCAGCTGAGTCGGCGGCTTAGCCTTCCACTTGCTCTTCTTGGTCTCTTCCTCGTACCTCAGTTTCGGAGGAGAATAATAAAAGAAGGAGGAGGAGCAGGAGGAGGATGAGGAGGAGAAGCAGGAGGAGGAGGAGCAGAAGGAGGAGGAGGAGGAGGAGGAGGAGGAGGAGGAGGAGAAAGAAGGAGGGCAGGAGGAGGAGGAGGAGCAGGAGGAGCACAAGGAGCAGAAGGAGAAGAAGGAAGATGGGAAATAATATAGGAGAGAAGATGATGAGGTGCACCTGTCCCTCCGCTTTATGTTTGGACCTTGGGACTTGGAGCGTGCGCCAGGGAGAAAGGGACGAAGACACGAAAGATACGCCGTGCGCCCGCGCCCGCGTAATCTCTCGCGCGAATGGGGCCGTCGAAACACCCGACACCGAGCCCTCCTCCTCCTCCTCCTCCTCCTCCTCCTCCTCCTCCTCCTCCTCTCCTCCCCCTCCTCCTCCTCCTCCTCCCCCCTCCTCCTCCTCCTCCTCCTCCTCCTCCTCCTCCTCCTCCTCCTCCTCCTCCTCCTCGGCAGTTGTGGAGCTCGGGAGCTGGGAGGTGGAAGCAGCCAACCACCGAAAGGGACGAGTAAGAGGAGGGGGAAAGCGGCAGGGCGACGGGATCTGTACACATCCGCTGCCCGCCCTGGCCCATCCTGGGCCGAGAGGTGATGCATACGCCGTCCTGGCTTGGCCAGGGATGCGTGTGCACCGCTCCCGAGCCCAGCAAGGGCCAGGCTTCGGGCCGCGGATGTGTATGGAGATGCCGTTCCCCTGGCAGGAGGAGGTGGGCGGTGAGCCCGATGCCTCGCACCCCTCCAGCCTCGCATCCACCCAGGAGAGCTCGATGCCTCGCATCCCCCCAGCCTCCATCCATCCCCCCAGCCTCCATCCACCCATCCATCCCTCCAGCCTCCATCCATCCCCCCAGCATCCATCCACCCAGGCCTCCATCCACCCAGGAGAGAAAATGCGGCAGGAGGAGGCAGCCTGGACGGAGGGAGCGAGGCTGCGGGTGCGGGCGCGCTCCTTTTCGCCCACGAAAAATGCGCCGGTTCTCAAAAAGGTCTGCGGCCGTCAGCCTGCGCGCGGAGAGAGAGAGGTGGGGCGGACGAGAACGAGGAGGAGGAGGATGAGGAGGAGGAGGAGGCGGAGGAGAAGGAGGAGGAGGAGAGCGAGGGCAGCGAGAGTTCACACGAGACGACAAGTGAGAAGAGTAGACTGCGGACAAGATTTTGCGGGCAGCAGTCGTGCGACGGAGGGAAGGTGGAAGACGGGGGCAGATCGGTGTAGGCTGACTGGCCATCGGCTACAAATTCTGAGGCGCAGCTCACTTCACAATCCGCGAGTGGGGGACCAATGCGTACAGGAGTGAGGGAGGAGGTGAGGGGGGGGTGGAGGAGAAAGAGTAATGGAAATGTGAGTGGGAGAAGGGAGGGAAGGGAAGGAGGAAGGACGGAGGAGTGACATGCGTGTGCTTTACAACGCACACGCGCCAATCTGACGGCGGGTAAACTGGAGCTGTGCGGCACATTTCGCGAAGACCAGGGGGGAGTGGTCTCACTGGTTCTGAAGAGCGGGGGGCAACCCCGAATTGATCAGCGCCTTCGCCTTGGAGACCAACTCGTCGTCTGGCAAAGCTTGCACCTCCTCGGCGGTGATGATCGGGTGGACGATCAAATTCACGCCAGGAGTGTGGAAAACTCTGAACTCACGGCCGGGAGGCATGAGTTCGGCGGTGCCCATGATGGTAACGGGCACCATTCCGACTTTCGCTTTCCTCGCGATAGAGAATGCGCCCCTCTTGAACTCCCCGAGCTGGCCTGTCTTGCTCCTGGTGCCCTCGGGAAAGAAGCACATGGACGCACCCGCCTTCAACTTATCGATGCACTCCCTGATGGTCTTCATCTGCGACCTGCGGTCATCCCGCTGCAAGAAGACGTGCCCGGTCAGTCCCATTGCCCAACCAATGATCGGGATCTTCTTGATAGACGCCTTGGAAACCCACTTGAATGAGCGGCCCAGAAAATACATAGAGAGAATG